CATGCTTGTGCTGGTGCTTGCTCATCCTGCCAGAGCTGCTGCCGTCCACTGGGGGGGGGCGACAAGGGGCTCGGCTGCTCATCTCTGCCACAGCCCAAGCCCCGGGCTCCCTTTGGCTCCCCTCGAGAGCTCCCCGACTGGACATACCTTTAGTGCTTCACCCTCGGAAGCAGAGTGGGCACTGTCATCCCTAATGCCACTACCTGTAACTTCTTGGGGAAACTTCCTCAAAACTCCCTGCCATCCAGTCAATGCTGACCCATAGCGACCCCCGGTGGGTTTCCGAGACTGTAATTATTTACAGGAGTAAATAATTAAAGAAAGCCCAGTCTTTCTCTCAAGGAGCTGCTGATAGTTTTGAACTGCTGACCATTCGGGTCACAGTACAACACCAAACCACTATACCGCCAGGGCTCCATTGAGAAATTGTAGTCAGTCAGTGGACATTCCCTGAGGGTCAGCTTAGCCAAGCAGTGCCCTGGGGGCCGAGGATAACCAACCCCACAACCCGAGAGGACAGGGTGGAACTGCCCCTGTGGGCTTTCAAGAGGGTCACTCTGTAGGGGAGCAGAAAGCCTCGTCTTTCTCCTGCAGAATGGATGGTGGTTTTGAACTGCTGAGCTTGTGGTGGTTAGAAGCCCCACCACTACACCACCAGGGTTCCTTGGACCTGAAGATTGCGATAAGCAACTTTCAGCCCCTAGCCTCACTGTCTTTACCGTCTTGGGGGAAGGTGAGCAAGATCCTCTCCTGACAATAGGGGGAGGATTGTCAGAAGGGTCCCTACACCAGGAGAGGGCTGGGAGGGGCGGAGTGGGGGACACTGGCATTCAAGGGAGGCTTCCTGTGGGAAGCTGAGGGCCTGGAAGAAAGTGTAAGCGGCCTACTGACCCCTCGTGACCACAGGGCTCGGCAAACTGGCACTAGCGACCAGGCATAGCACCACAGTCCCGGGGACCGTGGATAACGCCCCAAACACACCTCCAGGGAGAAAGATTTCTCTGCAAGTGCCCTCCACTAAAATGCTAATCTAAAGCTGTCTCCTATGGGTGCCTCACCTATGTAGTGAAAGGATGTCAGCTTCTTACTGAAGGAGTGATTTACTTATCTTGTCTCTTAATTGCCCGGTATTTACCATGAAGTGTTCCCCTAAAGAGCTCAGGATGTTCAAGATCAACACTGCCCATTCTGTTGTGTATGTGTTAACTGGAGGCTTGGGGGGTGGGGAGGAGGAGGGACATTACTATATAACCCCATTGCTGAATAAACTCTGGACTCTTCTCCAGATATTGGAGATCAGTCCCTGCACCCCGCTTTTCTGTCTCCTTTTTTCATAATTGCATAGTTGCTCCTAAGGACCCCTTCCTCATGAGGCTGCACCCCACAGCTTCCAGGATGTGGGGAGGTTTGAGCAAACTCTTGAAGGAGTTTTCCAGGGATATGAAGACAGCGGAGGTGGGGGGGAAATCTGCCGAGTGACCTTGAAGGCAGGCCTGGGGGCACCGGTGTCCCAGAGGACATAGGATTTCCTGGAAACAGCCAGGTGGTTCCCAAGATGAGAGGCTCCTCCCACACTGCCGGGGAGGCCCCCTCAGAGCGCCACCATGCTTACTCTCCTTGGGAAGGGACCTTCCATGAGGGGCCAGCAGGAGAGAGGCAGGTGAGCCCCCAATGCCTAGGGGGAGGGGAGGGGGAAGGCAAAGATCACCATGGGCCCCCATTATGATCTTTAGTGCTCCTACCCATTGCCTCAGCCTTGAGGATGGTGCTCCAGACACAAGATGGGAAGCTTGGGGCTGAAAGAAAGATGTTTCAGCCCCAACAATAAGCTAGAAGCCAAGGCTCGTAGGCTCAAACTGGAGCTGTAACTCTTGGGTGGCCTGGTCAGGCCTGGGGCTGGAGGGCCCTAGGTGGGAGCCCAGACAGGTCCTGGGGGACTCAACTCAGGAAAGAGACCTGCTTGGAAGACGTGTCTCTCCAAGAGCCCTGGAAAGAACATCTCCCCAAGCCAATTTCCTTGGTTCATCTGGGGTCTACAGCCTCCCAAGGCTTAGAAAGGGAACTGGAGTGGAGGGGAAACAGTGGCTGCCCATGGAGAGGTGGAAGAGAGAGTCCAGTGGAGAGGGTAGGACCACCAGGAGGGCTGTGGGGCGGACATGGCTGCTGACACCCTGGCTGGGGCCTGGGAGTGGGGGAGGGAAGGGGAGGGCTCCCGCCTGCTCAGGCTGCAGGTTCCTAGACTCTCAGGGCTTGCCATCATGTCCAAGGTGCTCCAGAAACTGGGTCCCAGAGACATCAAGGGGCTTGTCAAGGTCACACAGCACACAAAAGGCATCTCCTGCCCCAGGCATGCAGAGGGGGTTGGAGGTGACTCAGTCGGTTCCTGCCTTTGGGGACCTCTCAGACTGGCAAAGAAGACAGATTCTTCACAACTAAATATAGCCCAGGCACACTGTGACAAGTGTTGGGGAGTGCTGGTAAGGCTTTGCCCAGAGATAACAGGGGAGTGTTGGGGAAGGGGGCAGACAAAGGAAGGACTTGGGGTGGGGGGGGAGCTGACCCAGGGCAGAGGGTGGGGCTGTTGAGAAGAGGGAATCTTATCCACTGGCTCCCAAGCCTTCCCGGTGTCTACTCACATCTCTGTTGTGCTAGACAGTAGCCCGAGGGCCTCCGCTTCTGGTGACTTTGGGGCTGCCATGGGCCTGGCTGCTCCTGTACTAGCTTGTTGACTCTGGCCCACGCCTGCTGCAGAGCAGCCCGAGGGGGGCAACACCTTCCCCTGAGAACCAGTGCCAGGGTAGGAGCACCCGGGTGAGTCTGGGCAGGTCCTGCATGTGGGGACCGGGTGGGGTGTGAGACACAGGGGAGATGGGGTGGGGGAGGGGGGAGAGTTTCCTGGGGAGAATTCCTTCTTGGCCCCAAGAAAGAATTGGGTTGGCTTTGAGGGCCCTGAGCAGAGAGCGAGGGAGGCAGGAGAGAGGGGTAGAGAGAAAGACTGACCTGGAGGCCCCTGACCCCAAATCCATCTGACAATGAGGAGTGTGGAGTCACGTGCAGCCAAAGGAGAAACAAGTTTGGGGAGGACACTTCCTGGGTGTCCCTCGCCGACTTCGCACCCCGGAGAGGAAGACGTTTACAAGATGTGTGTCTTACAGCCTGCTGGCAACTCTCAGTGCCATCGAATTGATACCAACTCACAGCGACCCCACAGGGCAGGGTAGAATTGCCCCTGTGGCTTCCCAAGACTGTAACTCTTTACAGCAACAGAAAACCCCATCTTTCTCCTCACTGAAAGTTCCACAAACCTCGATAATCCTCCCCCATTGCAGTCTATGAAATTGGTCTCATTCACTTCCATCCAAAAAATGCTGACTCATAGTGACCTTACAGAACAGGGAGAGCTTCCCAAACTGTAACTCTCCGCCCCCCAACAGTTTTTCTGGCATATAATTCACATACCAGAGAATTCCATAGTTCAACACATCAAGAAGAGGTGTAGGACCATCACCACAATCAGTGTCTTCTATCTCGTACTCAACATTATTAGTTCCATTTCCTCCCCCCCACCCCAACCTCCCCTGCCGCACCCCTAAGGGAGGAGACTAACTATGAGAAAGCAGTGATTGGTGGTTTCCCACTGCTGACCCAGCCCAACGTGTGACCATGATGCCACCAGGGCTCTGTATAAGGTCAGCACTACTGTGATGGATTGCTCCTGCTGGATGGATGGACAGACGGACCAGAATGCAGATCCCAGAAAGGTCAGTCATGAACTCTGAGGCAGGAAGGAGGCTCATAGGAAGGCTCCTGGCCTGGCCTTGGCCTCCCCTCTTCCCTTGCACACAGACAGCCACCCGCCAGCATAGTGCATGACCACGGCTGTCTCAGGCCACCAGCATAGTGCATGACCACGGCTGTCTCAGGCCACCAGCATAGTGCATGACCACGGCTGTCTCAGGCCACTTGTGGGGATGTTAGGTTTCTGGGATGGTTTACCCCAGTTCTCAGCAGAAGCACTTTTGTAAATCCAAGTAACTTTTATGAGGGAAAGGGAAGCTTCAGGTAATACAGTCTCAGATAATGTTATGGGTTCAAATAAACGGCAGCCGCTATAATGTCTTGATAATTTAGAAGAGTCTTTATTCGATTATAACCGGACTGCTAGAATCTAAAAGTGATTCTTTGGTTGCAGTCCCGGGTCAACATTTCAGTCCATCTTTTAAGGCAAAAACTCCACTTATCCTTCGTCGACCACTTAAGCAAGCGTGGACAGAAGCAGAAAACAAAATTACTGTTACTATTCTTTAGGGCTACGGAGCTTGACAGGGTACAGCACTGAGTATCACATTCTGGTAACTTCCAGAAGAGCAAGCGTGCATTACAAGGCACATTCCTTATCATCAAAGAAACAATACCACAACTGATTATAACAAGACTGACGACACCATTCGGATGACAACATCAAAAGGAACAATATTAAACCATCGGTTGAAGAAGAGTCTAAACGGAACTCTAGCATCTTGAACCTGGGGGCATGAGAACACATTCTAAAATCAATGGGACTTTCGGAGATGGCTGGGAAAAGCAAGTAGGTCATTCAGCAGCTACAACATGGCGTTTCTCTTGCTCGTCTGCCTCCACAGGGCACGCCATCCCTGGAAGGCATGCGAGCCAGGCCCCCCCAGAGCAGCACCAGAGCATGGCGACCCCATCAAGGACTTTGCTGGAGGCTGTGAAGACCCTCCCAGGTCTCCTCTGACTCGGGGAAGTCCGGAGAGGGAGCCCGGGCGGACAGCCTGCTTCCCGCCACAAGCAGACCCCCTCCGGGCGCCACTGGCACAGAGGTTTGTAGCCAAGGGCGAAGGGGCGGACCCCCACCCTCCTGTTCCTTCCAAAGCCCCTCCTTTTGGGGCGCCAGGGCCCGGGGAGGGTTGGGGAGGCGGGCCGGCGCCGGCCGGGGCGGGGCGCGGGGCGGACGGTGCTGGAGGCCCGGGCTGCCCTGCCCGGCCCGCCTCTTGATAGGTATAAAGGCCGAGAGCCGGGGCCCGTCCTCTCTCCAGGTTCCTTCGCGGCGCCCCGGCTCCATGGACGCCCTGTGCGGCTCTGGGGAGCTCGGCTCCAAGTTCTGGGTAAGGCGCCAGGCTGGGGGGTGCTGGCCTGCGGGGACCAGGAAGTGCCCAGGCGGCAGGCGCTCACCCGCCGAGCCCCTAAGAAGGGCTGAGACTCGGGGGTGGGGGTGAAGGGGCGCCGGGAGGGGTCCGGCGTGCCACCAAGAGTCTGGTCCCACTCATGTCTGGGGACATGCCTTCACTTGCCAGCCCCCCACCACCGCGCGGACCAGCCTGGGAAAGCAAGACTTCTGGCAGGCGGGCGCAGTGGATGGGACCGGAGAGCGGAGGGGGTGCCCACGTGCCACCTGGCCTCTCTCCAAGCGCAGGGGGCAGAAGGGGCGCTTCGACATCAGCTCGGTTCCTGGTGGGTCCATAAGCGCCTGCTCCAGGAGCTCAGCTCCGGTGCCCACGCCCACACCTGGCCGGGCACTCCCAGGCTGGCCAGAGCCCCTGCTCACCAGGGACTTTCCTAGGCAGGCTCCGCAGGTGCGCCCATCCCTCTGCCCACACCTTTCGCCAGTGTCTGCGAAGGGCGACAGACCGGCCCTGGAAGGCTGTGTACCACAGCGACCCTGGTGTTCCAGAGCTCTGGGGGGGCCATAAAGCGAGTCCAGTCATACCGTGATGTTGGTTGACGCTATACTCATCTCCGGTGTGCAAGGGCTTTATGCAAAAGTTTGCACGATTGTGAGAAATACCAAGATGTGGCAGAGACAGGTGAGCAAGTGCTGCTAGAGGGAATGTTTGGAGGGTGGCCGCACACCTTCAATTTGTCAAAAACAATGCAGCTTCTGAGAAGCGCTGTCACTCAGCGTGCATAGGATTCCGTGCTCCAGCAGCCCACGGCCTTCAAGTGGTTCCCTGTAGGACAGCGTAGAGCCGCCTCATTGGGTTCCCAAGGCTGTACATTTTCTTTTAAAAATCATTTTATTGGGGGCTCATACAACTCTTATCACAATCCATACATCCATCCATTGTGTCAAGCACATTTGTACATTTGTTGCCATCATCATTCTCAAAACATTTGCTTTCTACTTGAGCCCTTGGTTTCAGCTCCTCATTTTCCCTCCCTCCCCACCCCTCCCTCCTTTGCAAACCCTTGATCATTTATAAATTATTATTATTTGTTCATGTCTTGCACTGTCCAATGTCTCCCTTCACCCACTTTTCTGTTGTCTGTCCCCCACGGAGGGGTTTATATGAAGGTCATTGTGATCGGTTCCTCCTTTCTACCCCACCTTCCCTTATCCTCCTGGTATCGCTACTCCCACTACTGGTCCCGAGGGGTTTATGTGTCCTGGATTCCCTGTGTTTCCAGCTCTTCTCTGTACCGTGTACATGCTCTGGTCTAGCCGGATTTGTAAGGTAGAATTGGGGTCATGATAGTGGGGGGAGGAAAGTTTAAGAACTAAAGAACATTAAAGAACTAGAGGAAAGTTATGTTTCATCGGTGCCATGCTGCACCCTGACTGGCTTGTCTCCTCTCCACGACCCTTCTGTAAAGGGATGTCCAGTTGCCAACAGATGGGCTTTGGATCTCCACTCCCCACTCCCCCTCATTCACAATGATATGATTTTTTTTTTATGTTTGATGCCTGATACCTGATCCCATCGACACCTCATGATCACACAGGTTGGTGTGCTTCTTCCACGTGGGCTTTGTTGCTTCTCAGCTAAACGGCCGCTTATTTATCTTCAAACTTTTAAGACCCCAGACACTATATCTTTTGATAGCTGGGCACCATCAGCTTTCTTCACCACATTTGCTTATGCACCTACTTTGTCTTCAGCGATCGTGCTGAGAAGGTGAACATCATGGAATAAGGCTGTACATTTTCATGGAAACAGATTTCCACATCTTTCTCCTGCAGAGTGGCCGGTGGGTTCGAACCAGCAACCTTTCAAATAGCAGCCGAGAACTTAACCGCTGTGCCAGCGGGGCTTTCTCCAGATCTATCCATCTACTCCTTATAGATGGGGAAAGGGTGATCCCGAGAGAGGCGTGGTGGGAGGAACTGAGGAAAGCCTTTGGCCCTCATGTCAAGGGCTAAGAGATCAGAGGGCTTCTGGGCTCCCAGCACCATTCAGTCACCCTGAGAGGGGACAGCCCCAGAGGTTCTTCTCAGCTCCCTTGCCCTCCTCTCCACAGCACCTTTGACTTGCATTGACAGAGCTCCAGGACCCTGTCTCCATTGTAGAGGCCTGGCTGGCCAGTGATGGGAGGTCCAGGCCGCTCTCAGGAGGCCCCTGATCGCTGGATCTTTGTCGCCTTTCGAGTAGCGGTCTATTTCTTCCTGATGCCATGTGTCAGGTGTGTGTATATGTGCAGAAGGTGTGTGTGTCTTTGTATGTGTGGATGTGCATGCTGGAGTCTGTGTGCAGAGATGCATGCAGTCAGGAACCATGCCCTTGACTGTGTTTGGAATGGGCTAGGCCGGGGTGTGCAGGCATTTATTGAATCATGAGACCTGTAAGAAAAACAGAACGCAGTGTCTTTGGGGACTTGCCTTTTCCTCGGGGTCACTGAAGTGCTCATCTGAGATGGTGCAACTTCTCTGCCACTGCCCTTTGGGGCCAGCCCGTCAGGAACTCACTCTGTGTCCACCCTGGTCACTTGTCACCAAAGTTTAAAGGTTGCTCAACTCTGCTCTTTGACACATGTACTTCCTTTCACTGATCACTGATGGGGTGGCTACCGTATAGTCAAGGTGACTGGGTGGCCAGGTCGAGGACTTGGAAACAAAAGGGTTGTTGTGCCCCAGACTCAAATGCCAGAGCCTCTGATGCTGGGTGGACCCCTAAACCCTGAGAGCACAGCACCGTGCAGAAACCAGGCTGTGAGGCACCTGCAGTAGGACAGCCCAGGACTCCTTGTCCCCAACTCTGAGCTCCTTGGACCCATGTCAGTGTAGGATCCAAAAGAGTCTGAGCTTAGGGCGTGAACCATTTAGCTTCTCCTAAATCTGGGCACACGGACAAGGTCCACAGAGGGGATGGACTTGCCAAAGCCGTGTGATAGTCAGGTACAGAGAACTGGCTTAGGGAGTAGAGCCTGCGGGAGGCAGTTCAGACATTGCCATGACCTAGCTATGGACCCTTGGGTCACTAACTCTTGGCCCCTGAACTTGCTACTCATGTCTAGTACCTCTCCTCAGGTACTGAGTCCTGCAGGTCAATGAGAGTTAACTTATCTGCATTTAGGTCCTAGGGGTGAATCCCTTCTTTGAAGCCCTTGATAAATTATTGTGGGGTCTCTTCCAGGATGCCACAAATGGTTACTTCTCCCCACCTCCCACCTCCGATGTCCCAGGACTCCTGATCCTCCACCTTCTTCTCTTGGCTCCAGGAAGCTAGTTCCAGGCTGCACCCAGCTAGCAGGACTAGGGATGGAGTGAAGAGAGAACTGGCAGATTCCCAATTACATGGTGGACCAGATCTCCTGAGGGCTTGCAGATGAGACCAGGGAGTGCCTGAGGCATGGAGCCTGGAGCCCCTGCTATCTCTCAGGTGGCCCCCAAAGGGTCTGCTTTGCATCTCCCGTGCATTGCCTGCTATTCAGGAATACCTGTTGCTGAACCTTTTCCCCTGGGGCCTACAGGTGTCCTACCTTGTTGGAGGTGATGCTGGGAGTAAGAAAGAGAAGGTGCAGGGTTCAAGGCCCCCTGGGCCACTTGTTGACTTCAGAAGCATTTCTTTCACTCGTTTATCCATACAACCTGGGGTGTTCATCAGTGAAAGGGAAAAATAGCCCACCTCCTAAGGTTCTCCGTGGAGCGCGATAGAGAACATGAACCGATGTTGAGAACTAGAGAGCTTGCTATGCTACGGGTGGCAGGTCCTGCTGTTCTCTGGGGAGAGGAGGGAAGCAGAAGAGAAATGGGCTTAGAAGGGGAAGTTTGGACTCATGAAAGTTATAGGCAGGATTGTTGAGCTGGGGCCTGCCATCTCTGCTGCTTGCTGGGGAAAAGAGTAGCTGATCCCAGCTGAATTCATCAGCCTTCGCCCAGTGAAGGAGCCCTGGTGGCCGTAGGTGCAGCATTGGACTGCTAACCCGAAGGTCGGTGATTCCAACCCACCGCAGCTCCACTGGGACAAAGACGAGGCAATCTGCTTTCATAGAGCTTGAAATCCCTGGACGCCTACGGAACAGTTCTGCTCTGTCCTGTAAAGTTGCTGAGTCAGAATTGATCGGCGGCAGTATGTTTATTTTGGCTTGGTTTGGTCCTACCTAAACCCGAGGGTGAGAGACCTCAGGGCAGCCCCCAGGGCCCTGTAGACACACACACACACACACACACACACACACACACACACACACACACACACGGTGCACCGGGTGAATGATGTATTACTTTTTTCGCATCCTTTCTCTCTCACCTCTACCCTCTTGTGGGCAGGTTACCAAATCTCTGAGTGCCTTGTAAGTTTCCATGGAAATAAATTCCAAATGAGCGGACTGTGAGCCCCAGCTGCCTGGGCACAAGGAGGTGGTGGTGTCTCCTTACAGCCCTGTTGTCCCCAGCCTGGAGGATTAGTTTCCCATGTGAGCAATTGAGGTGGGAGGAGCACCTGGGGATGAAGGACTCCATCTCTTCAAAGAATTCGCCCTGATCCGCTGACCCCAGGCAGCTCCTGAGGGGCTGATGTCAACTCCTAAATCCCAAGGGCCTGGCCATCAGAGCTGTCCTGAGAAGTAGTGGGTTCTTTGTCACCTGGAGCATAGAAGAACATGGCTGGTGACCACTAGGTAGGGATGTTGGGGAGAGGGTTCCAGCCAGGGAGGGCTGTGGGTCCTACTCTGTGTCAACCGGGCAGAGGGAAGGCAGAGTTGAAGGGACATTGGCTAGTTCCTTCTCTGATATTTCCACACTCTTGGTAGTCTGTGTGCCCCCTCGAGAGGGGCAACCTACGAAGAAACACCTCCAGGTAGAGCCGAGCACCGGCCGCTGTTCCAGCTAGCGTGGGGAAGGTACTCTCGGGACCCCTTCGGCTGCTGTCCAAGACTTGATTCCTTGGAG